CCCCCGCGGGGCGGCCGCCCCTGGACCCCGCGGGGGCTCCGCCCCTCCCGGCCGCCAGGGGGGCTGCGCCCCTCTCGACCCCCCATTTTGCAAACCTTAGACACAAAAGGAGGAAGAGCAACGGGGATGAAACGCGTAACTGGGAGAATATTTTTTCCGAGGTTATTTATTCCGGAGATATTTTTCTCGGGGATTTTCTTTCCGAGATTTTTCCTCCGGGATATTTTTTCCGGGGATATTTTTTCCACCACCCTATTTGTTGAGACCTCGATTGTAACTCCTGGTCTATCGGGAATTTTCCCGGTCAAGCGTCTTGAAATTCAAATTTCCTCAAGGTCGACAGAACTCTGTCGATTAACTGTTGATATGAAGTCCAATAAAATTCTCTTGATTTTAAAGAAACCTTTTTTGCACCTCTCATTTCGTCCTGCAGGCAATGTTTTAACGAAAATTTCGAGAGATATTTCCCGAATATTTCACCGAAACTTATTTCCAGGGTAAACAGTAATCTGATTTAATTATGTCATATGTTTAATTTATTAATTAATCCTGCAGGAGGTGTCAGCGAACGCACGCGGTACCTTACAACCTCGAAAAATCTCCTCAGCTCAGGTGCTGACGCCGTCGAGAGGCTCATGTCTTCCTACAAGGTAATTTTTCACTTAAATTCTTCGACATATCAGAAATCAACGAAATCAGAGTGCAATACTATGAATAATTCAGTCGAAATTCCTCCATCCATAAAAGCCTCGTAAATTCAAACTCACATATTATCAAATAAGGAAAAAAACTCGATTGTCTCCTCTAGGAAAATTACTCCGTCAAATGCACAATTTTTATCGTTGAAAACAAAATAGTTTCCGACTCGGACTATAAAGTCGCATTCGTCAGATTCCCTTTTTTCGTCCTAGGCGTGAAATATACTAATTTATATTCATTTATTTTCCTGATTCGAGTTAGAGAGGAATATTTCTAATACTAAGACAGATAGCGAGATTTTTATTAGAGCCTTATTTAGTGAGGACCTGGGATTTTCGGTGGCATCGGAAATTGTGTGAGATGATGGTCAGATGGAATTATACCGAGAAAACGCAAGGAATTTCAGCATCAAGTTATCGATTTGTTAATATCTCTGTTCGTTAAATTACAATATCAACATTGATTTTACAATTGATTAATTATTGGTGAGAGCCTCTTCCACCTTATTAACACGTTAATTAACTGAACTGATAATTTACTAGATAGTTAACTGACACTGACTGCTGAGAAAATGATAAATTCAATCGAAAAGGCTGACCTTGATGCTTGACTGTACAAACTCTGTGTGTGTTTACTGAAACATCTGAACGACGACACAAAAACGTTTTCTGCGCACATCCAAGACAATACTGATATAATTTCTTTAATTTGAATTCCTCTGAACGTTGACCCGGGGGCCCTCGATCTTTACCGAGGACTCCCGATCTGATCTGATGATGAAAACCTTGAAACGTCTACTTTCGTAAACAAATTTTTTTGTAGAGTAGAGCAAGAACTCCGAAAAGGGTTGTCACAAAAACCTCGCTATCTCCTTTAGATTCAGATATATTCTCCAAGAACTCAAGAACTTTCTTCCCGAATTGGCTACCAATAACTAATCTTTGCTATCAATAACTAAAAGTGAACTCCTGACTTGCGTTCTCCAGGAATTGGTAGCACTGGCTGGTTACGCAAATCGAGTAAGTGAGATGCTAGACGTCTTCAAAGACACAGCCTTGTGCAGATACCAGAAGAACGTAGTTCTAAGCCAACAATTAACCCGAGGTAGTACAAACGGTTCCCTCCCATCCGAAAAAATTCTGGAGTTCCGTGACGGAGCGCCTGTGATAAAAGGTCTAGTAAAGGAATCGCTGGACGGTAGTATCGCCCTAGAAAAGGTTCCAATAGTGACACCAAACTGCGAGGTAATTGTCTCAAGCCTGACCTTGACAATAAAGCCAGGAGATCACTTGCTGATAACAGGTCCAAACGGTTGCGGCAAGAGTTCTCTCTTCCGGATAATCTCAGGCCTCTGGCCGGTATACGGTGGGATCTTGACGCGTCCTGGAGACTCGTACCAGATCAGGACAGGGAGACCCGCCATGTTTTACATCCCCCAGAAGCCCTACATGACTGTTGGATGCCTGAGGGAGCAGATAACGTACCCTGCGGACTCCACCAACGCCGGATGCACCGACGAGGAACTCCTGCAGCTGCTGGATCTCGTGGACCTGCGTTCCTTGGCTGAGAGGGAACCTGAGGGTCTTGATGCTATGGGGGATTGGGACTCTACACTCTCTGGAGGGGAGAAGCAGAGGGTCGCAATGACGAGACTCTTCTATCATGCACCTCAGTATGCACTTCTAGACGAATGCACAAGTGCTGTCAGTCTAGAGGCCGAGGGCCTCATGTATGAGACTGCTAAACAACGGGGAATCACTCTCCTAACAATCACTCACAGGGTATCCTCTCTTGCTAAGTACCACAGTTACGTCCTCAGGTTCGATGGCGAGGGCGGCTGGAACTTCGGTCTTCTCGAGGGACTTGACGGAGTTCAAACAGTCAGGGGAGAAGGGAAGAAACTCCGGGGGAATACGCTGCAGGTATTTTTCAAATTGTATTGATCATTTATGTAGATTTATCAATATGGCGGTTTTCCTCGGAAATTTTAGTAGATTTGGGGCGGAACGTCGTGAAGGTAAATTTGGAGTTGTGTTAGAATTTTGAGTTTCTGTTTCGATTTTACTTCAACTTTAGTTTTTGAACCGAGTTCTGGTAAAAAACTGACGGTTTTTTGGAACAATTTGGTTGAATTTATGCTGGAACTTTGTAAGAATTCTGCAGGAGTTCTGTGCCATTATATTGATCCATTCTAATTGCTTTTTATCAAGGTTGATGAAAAACTTGCAGTTTTTCAAAATTCAGTTCCACTTCTCTTAAAATTCTATACAATTCTATGGGATTTCTGTAAAAATTTTGTCAAAAACTTCTGTACATTTTGTTTATCCTTACGCCAGAGGAAATACAAATCTCACCTCTCCTGACTAATTCACGATTAATATTTCGAAAATAATGATGATTAATGACTACCAATTTTTGACTGTTACTAGCTGTTCAGGAAATTGTATTATTATTATTTGTGTTTGTATTCATAATTTATTTCGATTTTCAAACAAGATTTGTGGTGGAACGACGTTAAAATAACTTCGGAGTTCTGTTTAAATTTTAAAATTCAATCTGGTTTTCACGTTAACTATAGTTATTGAATAGTTCTAGTATAAAACTGGTGGTTTTTCTGGAACATTTAGTTGACTGTGTACTGGAACTTTGTAAAATTCTGTAGGAGTTCCCGTTTAAAAAAAAGCATGTAACGTTTTTTGTCAGCTTTTTTTGGCGCTATGCATATCAAAATATATCTATATAATATGCTATATATATATAGATAGATCTTTCTATATATATATAGATATAATATATATATATAAATAATATATATAATAATATATATATATATAAATTATATTAATTTTATAAATATTAATTTT